TTAGAATCTAGACCTTAGGCTTTCTTTCTTTCTTCGTACTCATCTTTCTTTCCGGGATCAGCCTCGGAACGTGCACATTCATGCTTTTTCTTATCTCGCATCCCTTCCTGTTCCTCTATATTATTTGTTTATCAATTTATAGATTATTGGTTTTGTATTATGTGTTTGCAGCCCTCTCTTAGTATTTGCCATAGATGTTGGAATTTAAAGACAAAAAACCTTCGTTATGCATGGGTTGGATCGTAAAGGGAGGGAAGGATGAGGTACAAATTGTACGACGACCACTTCATTAAGTCGACAACTATAAAAAATCCCTTTAATTCTGATAGAAATGTTTGTTGTCTTTTGCTGGTTCCATGGATAATCAGATTAGGTTCCACCTTTCATCATTCACCAAGATGTTGGCAAAATACCGTTATGATGGACGTTGGGTTGTTGCTGTATTATTTCAAGCTAGGGACTATAACCATTAATATGTTGCTTTAAAAATCCTTCGTCTCTCTTTACAAATCATAATCAAAGCTCATATCTATATATATATATATATATATATGTGTGTGTGTGTGGGGGTTGTATTTATGCAGTAGTAGTAGTACTTGACTAATCCTATTCGTATTTGGGTGGTCCATACTTGCAGAGGAGCTTCTTTATTGCCAGGCCAAAAGCTTCTGGTCAATTAGGCAGCTGTATTTATTTGTGGTTGACAACCGAAAGAGATATAATAAAAACTAAAGAAAAGATGCTCACCTTACGACTTTACTAGATTAATCACTACTGGTCGGTGTAACTTGTTGGTGTCAAGAATATGGAATATTCACAATAATGTCTTAGTTTCACAGGTTTATAGTCGTTAATTAAAACCCTTCAATTTTGCAACATGCATGCAGCTTTTGCTAGTTTTGTATAGTATACAAAAATCTTGCACATTTTGAGGAATACTACTAATCTTATAGTTCATTCTCTATTGTAATTATGCTATCTTCCCGTGTTTAGAGCACACGGGATCCTCAGTGCCACTTTTGCAATGGTAATTCAGTGCTACTTCTATATTTATGCCAAGTGTCCTATTTATTTAATTTGTCATATGTTGTTTATTTAAATTTCTTCTACCATCACATGATTAATGGGATTGATACTGGATTTGGCACCGAGTAGTGGCACAAAAGATCCCAACTGTGTTTAGAGTACTGATAAAACAGATAGAATTAGTTTATACGTTAGAAGGCGTTTTTGAGTACTTGGATAAATAAGTCATTTTCTTCTCTAATGGAACAAGCTTAAAGATGACATAATATATATATATATATATATATATATACAGTTTAGTTTAATTAGGATTCTGTACCATAACAAGGAAAACGATGATGTTTGAAAACCTCAAGCAACCAACAATATTTTATACATAAACGTCAGCTATAAGAATTGGGCAAAAGACAAGCACCCTTTGAAAGTTTGAACAATGTGATACTGCATTATGCATAAGCCGGAAGGAAGACTTTTGTTTCAAACAAGTACAGAAGAAGTTGCTTCGGAAACTGCCATTTTTTTATGAATGACCTTTTCTTCAGGATTTTTGTGGTAGACTGCAAGCTAAGCAAATTGCCCCCACAAACAGGGGGCCAAATCTTGCAGTTTACCAGCTCCTTCATGTAGAAGAAAGAATTGGGAGGGCTGATGGAAATGATCTCAACCTCAGCTTTCCTTTTCTCGACCTAACGCTCCCTCCGCTCACTGGATTTTCCAAATCCTACCGTTAGCTTGGAGTTGGATGCAAACCAAGTAACTACGACTGCAAAGACCCCACTCTGCACATTTTTCTTCAATCGTGTCTTCGGATCTAGTTTTGCTTATATATATATATATATATATATATATATATATATATATTTTGGAAGTTGGTTAGGTAAATTTTTTCTACCTTTTTCCTCGTGCAGCCACCTAGTGCGTTGTGGTTAGTGCGTCAGCATTTGGCCTACAGAAAAATGACACAAAACATCCCAACTTGAGTAAAATAACTGTAGTGAAAGAAATGCAATTGTTCATCAGCCTTTTTCTTCTTCTGGTACTTGGGTTTCAAGTGCTTTTGTTTGTTGTTACTACTACTTCCTCAGAAAAGGCCAATACAATAAAGACAGGTGATTGAATCTTCTAATTATTCATTCCTTATGCCACATGGCCTTGTATCCTACATGAGGTCGGTCATTGAAGATTAAAAGCACAAAGTGCAAGAGTTTAAGCTAGACTTCAAGATTAACTAGTAGGTCCCTATCGAGGGGGGAAGGTGAAAGGGGGGGGGGGGTGGTGTTAGACTTTGTACTTTTTATCTCAAAGCCCACAATCCTGCAGGCCAGCCCATCCGTCCTCCCTCTAACCATATACACACAAAAAAAAAAATAAAAAAATACAAGCTTTGGACCCATTTTTCTATGTGAAGAGCATAATCCCACATTCAATTCATCAAAAAGGTTCCTTACTGCATCCTCAAGCCTGCAGCTTTACCCAATTTTGCCGGGCCTTTCTAGTTGGCAATGAGATGTTTACAGCTTTCAGCGTTTTGCAAAATGCATGTGTACAATTTACCTTGCATTCATTCTCATAACCCGGAGGACAAACCACATGATTGATGTACATAACTCTTTCATTAACCAATAAGGTTTCTGCTTTTTGGCAAAATCAGAGCAAGAGGCCACTGCCCCCCTCATTCATATAGTCATTCACTAGCTTTTTTCCTTGTGGTTGGTCGCTTTTTCTAAGTTTCTACCCCATGTGGAACTTTGCATCACATGCTCACCCCCACCTCCTTTCCATCCCAGCATTATGCTTATCCCTCTCTTTTTACATCTTTCTGTCTCCTTTCATTTGATCATTTCCCAAAACCCAACTCTCTCTTTAATTTTACCTAAATATCAAATCATTAGTACCATAATTAAATCAAGATTTCCTTTCGGTTCAATACCGCGGCTCTGTTAATCAGTGCACTCAATTCTAAGTACATTGGCATAGATTATGGTTTGTCACAGCAAGAATGATTTATATACATATACATATATCTATCCCTTTGCGATGCCAGAGTCTGTAGCAACGCAATCATATCGCTGTGGCCCTCTTGCACTCTCAAAGCATTTATGCAATCCGATTGTGGTTCTTTGATTTTGTCTTCCATCATTCCTTGTCTTTGGATCAAAACTGCAACCCCCTTTTTAGACCTTTCTTTACATTCATCTCCAGGCATCAAAAGTTTTGTGGACATGTCATGTGCCTTATTGCAAATGGTCATCATATGGGTCTGGCTCCAAGATGCACCTTCGTACTAATTATCCAAGGGGTCAAAACTCGAGGAAAAACACGTTAGTGCAAAAATATGTGCAATCTACTCCGATCGAGCCCCTTTTAGCTTTTAGGCATGTACAAATTACTAGTCTTTGGATCTTATTCTTGGGAAAATTACTAGAATGTTCAATGGATGTATGTATTCATGAATTCGCAAAATATCTACGATCTAAGAAAAGGAACTTTGGTCAAGGTTCATGAGTTTCGTTTAAAACATGATGAACTAGCTGTAAATTTCCGAACCATACACAAGGATTAAGGACCACAAGAGGAAGCAAATGTCACAATCGTTTAGTGGCTTTGCCACTTGCATGGCACAAAATGTTTAAATGAGAGCTCCTAACGCAGGACTTCTTAGAACACGTTCGTGTGTATCATCTGCAAAAAAAATAACTGAATGGCGAAAAATGATACATCATAGTTTACTATTCTGAACAATCGTTTAAATCTTTGCAATGCCTATGAAGCCATAGTGACAGTACTGACAGAATTAATAACTGAAATTTATACGATGGGCTTCTTCTTGGGGCAATTGGTGGAGCTTCTCAAATGTACACAATATGCTGCTGCAATAGTGTAGAGCCCGACACCCTAGATGCCGATATACCCTAGGCAAAAGAACCACCATGCAGGACTTCGGCGATCATGAGAATTTTTTTTTTTTTTTTTTTTATATAGGAAAAAGCTTGGATTGGTTCAACTTTAATTATCACCGTAAATGGCGAGTATGCGAATGAGACCATAGACAGGCGTTTTTATCGAGGAAGCAGTCTTGCCAGCTGAATCAACTTTCATTTTTCGTATTCTTTGTAGAGGGAAATGTCTCTTGCCTTCTTAAAATGAATCCACCATTGAATGCAGAAATATATTTTGAGATTCGCGTATCTGAGCCCAATGGACTCGTCCAGGAGCGAAACAAGATAATCAGATACCTGAGTGGTTACTATTGTGGCCCATTCCCATTTGGGGTTGTATACAATACAAATATAATAAAATGATGGGTAAATTGAGTATAACTTCATTTTTACGACAAGGGAAAAAGAGTCTGGATCTAATTTGACTTGTATAAAGTGGATCCTGGCTCGTTATTGAATGAGATAAAGATGGAGTCACACTCAATGGGATTGTCATCCTAAGCTGTGCGTCCTCCTCAGAAATGGACCCGACCCTGGGGAGTTTCCTATTAATAATGTAATTTTTAGAAAAAAAAAAATCAGAGGCTGACGTAATTTTTAGAGTTACATACACATATAAGTCATTTATAGTGTTTTAATATAAATTAATCTCTTAATTCGATACTATTAACCTTGTTTTTTAATTTTAAACATATCTAACCTGAAAAGTGAACAAACATCCTCTCAATTTTTTAAAAAAAAAAAAATTTTTTTTTGAGGCGTTTTCATTGTATCTGTGATGCCATATAATTGTGCGACGTCTGAACTCGTTAGTCCACCTTTGGGTTTGATAACCATAAGGCATATTACTCATGTGATGATCAAGACAGAAAGATGATCAATTACATCACCTAGCCAGCTAATGTGACCGTACAATTACGTCATCATCATCTTTGGTTTTTTGCCCTTTTTTCTATTTTATTTCTTATAGCTACCGAAACTTGTAATAATTTGTGTTTCTTCCTCTTCTTATAGCTACCGAAACTTGTAATAATTTGTGTTTCTTCCTTTTGATGCCTTGCTTACTGGCAAAACTTTCACCCTTCTCCGTTGGAAGCCCGACAATATAAGCATGAAAGTGCAGTTATGAGGTCTAATGGCTTATTGCTCTTTTTTTTTTTTTTTTCTTTGCTGATGCAAGGGCTATCCTGATTTACGCCAAACTAATTTCCTTGCAGTGATGCAGAGTCCGTCCCAAAGTATATCACATGATAACAAGCGAGGATTGAAACGGTAATCTCCAAATAAAGATTTAGAGAGCCAATCAGCAAACTACCCGTTTGACGGTTTTTAATGATCTATTACTCATCTTCATATTATCTTGTTACACCTCTCGCCTAAAAATTTCATGCATGAATAGTAATCTCCCAATTTTAAAAAAAAAAAAAGAAAAAAAAGGGAAAAATTAAACAGAACCATTATAATCACAAGCAAAATATGCTAACCGGTAAAGTGATGTCAAGAATGTGGTCAAACACTTTAAGTTCCAAATGATCTAGTCCACTAAGTGATGTTATCTTCTTCGGTTGTCACGTCAATTCATTTATATGTTGTACAATTAAAGTATTTAATAATATTTCAAATAATCCCATATCGAACACTTTTTCTGTTCTTATGAATACATAATACTCAGAAGAAGTGAAGAAATTCAGGAGTACTGAATCTACATAATTTATCAGAAGACTATTAAAGGTACCCAAAGGAATGGTAATTACATCATATTCAATTCTTTTTTTTTTTTCTAACATCGTTTAGTCAACAACTAGTTAAGATTTGCTCGCCATTTTTTGGTATAACTATAAAATTACTCTGCGGTGGTCTATATCGGCAAATATATGCACTAATAACTCTGATTAGTTTCACAAGTTAATTTACTACATGTGCATCACTGCAATTTGTATGTTTTTTTTTTTAACATACACATGACTATGCTTAATATTTTTTATCTTTAATAGATGCACATTCTACTTAATTTTGCAGTTGTAAAGTAATTTAAAAGAGCACTCAAGACTAATTACAAAATAGAAGTTGGTGTTAACAAGAAAAGACTCAATGGGAAAATAAAGAATAATTCAAGATAAATGAAAAAGCATCTTATTCATTTAAAAGCTTTTTAAAATTCTTCTTATAAAAAAAGTTTTTTTTTTTATTTTTTGGTGCCAATCAAAACAACACATCTACTTTCATTTTTTCCATGTAAAATTGTTACATCTTGGAAGTTAAATAAGTCAATTAAATCTTGGATGGCAAATAGGAGTAGTTATACAACTCTACACTAGAAAGTAGATTCCTAGATGATACATTGCATAGAAAAAGGAAACTTTAAAGAGCATGAAATTTCAATAGAATATAAACCTCAAGGGCTTAAAAAGCAAATATACTAATTTACTTGTCGTTTACCCTAGCACTAAAACAAAAAGCAACTAGTATTTTAAAAAAAGCAATTGTCCGCATTACTAACTGACGAAATAATCCGCTTATAAAATTGGTTGAAGAGTCAGAGAAAGAGAAGTAGAAGAAGAAAAGGATAGCCCAGAAAGAAGAGGAGAGGGAAGAAAAAAATGTCAGGAGGAATAGCCCGTGGCCGTCTCGCTGAGGAACGCAAGGCCTGGCGCAAAAATCATCCGCATGTCAGTCCCTCTTTCAATTTGCTATAATTTTTTTTGCTGGGTTTATCGTTTCTTTTATTTTTTTTGTTTGTTGCATATATTACTGGGTTTTCGTTGTGCTTGATTATTTTCTATGCAGAAGTTTTTGGAAAGGAATATTTCTTGTCTTTGCAGGAGGAGAATTGGTTTTCGTTTTTTCATTTTCTCACGTATGTCTTTGCAGGGTTTTGTGGCAAAGCCAGAGTCCGGTGCTGATGGGTCCGTCAATTTGATGGTGTGGCATTGCACCATCCCTGGGAAGGCTGGGGTAAGTCTCCTGCATTTTTATCTTTTCCTTTTTGAATTGAGAATTCCCTTTTGCAAGTGTCGATTTTTTCGTTGTGCTTCAAATATTTAATAGAGTTATACAAATAAACTGCCAAAAAAAGAGACATTTCTTATTGTATGTGGCGTGGCCCTTTCCATTTTATAAGGAGATGATGTGGTTGAGAAAATTTATGTGCTTTTGTATTAAGGGTTTTAGGTAATTGCATTATTGGTTTTGAAGTTTTGATTTTTTTTACCTTTTGTGGTGGTGTGATAGTATGAGACAAGGAATTGGTTGAATTAAATTGAATATTTCATGTCTTGATGCGTATATATGATAGAATTGCTCCAGTATTTTTTGGTGATAACACTTAGGAATGTACTTTTTCCAGCAGACACGCATTCTCACCGAATGTATGATTTTGGCTGAGTTGTTTTTGAGTGTGTTAATGGTAGTATGTGTTGTATTTGGCTAATTGTAGTCTTGCTTTCCTTCATGGGGTGTCGACTGCAGTGGTATAATGCGTGATGGGTGATAACTACGAGGTTGCTGATGGTAGGTGTTTCTCTTAAAAATATGGTATTTGCTGAGTACAGTTGAATATTTGAGTATTGGAAAGTAATTAGGTAAAGCACATTTGGGTTCTACTTTCGAATATTACCATATCATTACGAGGATCTGACGTATGTAAGCCTTATATCTGCATTGTTATCGTGTTTTCTTTTTTAAAAGTATTGCGCTTTTAAGGTAATGACAAATTCTTGTGCTTATCCAGTTGCAGCTTAGATATGAATGAGATCTTTAACTAAGCTAGTATGTTGTCTTTTCATTCAGTTTTACGCATTAAAGAGAGAAAATATGTGGTCTGTAGGCGTTGAAAATTCGAAGGAAATGGGAAAATAGTAATTGCTTATAGCCATCAATTTGGGAAATAAGAGTGTGACAAGTAACATACAGATTGGATGGTCGACAATGCTGATGTGAAAAACAACCAACTCCTGCTGCTCTGTATCCGGAGTATTCAGAAATATGTATGCAAGGATCGAAATAGATTTTACGTAATATCTTGGATGGTTTGGTTATGGTGAAAATAAAATTACATTTTCATGTAGAAGTACTCACATCCAACATAATGGAAAATTTCTGCTAAATCAACAAATTTGTGTTGGGATGATTGCCATAGGGGACATATGGAGGACTTCTGAGGTGGAAATTAAATTGGGAAAAGAGGTTCAAAAATAAATTACAAAGGAAAAAAAAGTAAAGATTGCTTTTGCAAGTATAAAGAAAAATAGAGGCAGAAGATAGTGGAAAAATCTTCAACAAATTTCTGGATCATTACGAACATCAACTCTTTGTTAAGGCAAGAACAGTAAAATGGCTGAGACAAATATTATATTTGCTAGGCTGACCTTTAAATCTGATGACATGAAATTCTTTGCAACTAGATCCTTAATTGTTGATCTAATACCCTCAACCTTTTTTTTTTAAAAAAAATCTACACCAACACTTTAGGAGAAAGCTTGTGTGATCTTTCAGAGGGCACTGAAGTGGCAGGACAAGTGAAATGGTTCATGTTGTTTTTACGAGCACTCAAAAGTGGATGAGCCACTAAGGCAGCAGAATTATCTTCATCATAGTAAAGGTGAAACGGTGGTTAGTATAGTTTTGAGACCACCTATAATCAGAGGTGCAGCTAGTGATACTGAAAGTGACAAAAGTTTAGGAATATAGTTTCTGTGGAAATCTTCATTTGCCTCAAGTCGGGAAATGTGCCGTCCCTTATCTGGGATTTCCCTAGGGGTTTGCTATGAGAAGTTTGGTGGGTATATCACTTTTGGATGGAATGAGGATGCCTAATGTTGGAATCTTTTAGATTGAGCTTGGGAATCTCAATGAATTTTACAAACATTCTGAGTGATTTTATCAGAAGCATGTGATTATGAAGCATTTATGGCATTAATAAGTTAACTATAGGACCATAACATATTGTATAGGCATATCCTAGACTAGAAACTTCTGTCAATTGTTATAGAAATGGATGAAAGATAGAGGAAGGTGAAAGCTAGTGCTATCAGAGGGAAATTTTGGAAATACTGCCAGACCTCTTCCTCTGATTTTTCAGCCTTTTTGCCCATAGTTGAACTTCTTAGGAAGCAATTTCCAACAAATATAGCAGGTTAGAAAGCTATTACTGGTGAAATCCTACGTCAGCCAAGTGAACTCATAGGCATGAGTGAGGAGTTGCAATGACCTCTTATTATTATTATTATTATTATCATCATCATCATCTTTATCATATATGTGTTGGAGGGTTGGTGCTGGTAGAAATAATGATGGGAAAATTGTGATTGTTATGTTGCAAAAGGGAAAAAAAAATTTACTTTTAGGTTCTGTTGAACTGTCGCCCATTGGCAAGCTATAAACAACACTATATGTATTATTGGTGATATGAATTGGTTCATTAAATAAGTTGGCATCCCAAGGTAATATGAATCTCGGGTACTCGAGTTCATGTTAGAGCAGTGTATACTATTGGTCCCCTAGATTAGTTCGCTGTTATGTTGCAAAAGGGAAAAAAAAATTTACTTTTAGGTTCTGTTGAACTGTCGCCCATTGGCAAGCTATAAACAACACTATATGTATTATTGGTGATATGAATTGGTTCATTAAATAAGTTGGCATCCCAAGGTAATATGAATCTCGGGTACTCGAGTTCATGTTAGAGCAGTGTATACTATTGGTCCCCTAGATTAGTTCGCTTCACCTGGGTGATCCAACAAAATGTTGTCCCAGCTAGTCAATATGTACTTTCAAGATGACATGATCTCTTGTTTTCTGTGAAATCAAATCATAAATCTCTATTGATGTGTTGTCTGAGTTCTGAAATTTGTGGCTAAACTAGTGTAATCTATAGCTTATGAAACTTGTGTCATGCTCATGTTCTTTGAAGTTTGATGGCATCCACACAGAGCTGTTGTTCACTACTTTTCTGGTTTGTGTTTGTTAAGGTCTTCTTACAATTTGGTTGAAGTGTTAGTGGTAGACACGCTTTCAATGACTGCAATATATTGCACCTTTTTTCTTTTCCATTTTTTCCACCTAATCTCGATATATTTTGGTGGAGCTGTCATCCATGTAATTTGTATGTTCCCGTTTCCCTTTGGTCTGATAGCTTTATTTTTTCCTTTGGCATGCACTTGGTGATGCTTTTATAGAGATCTAAAGGAACAGAAGCAAGAACTAACCTTTTCATTCTTGCAGACTGACTGGGAGGGTGGCTACTATCCACTCACAATGCACTTTACTGAGGATTACCCCAGTAAACTTCCCAAGTGCAAGTTCCCACAAGGGTTTTTCCACCCCAATGTCTATCCCTCTGGAACAGTGTGTTTGTCGATCCCAATTGGGGTTTTTCCACCCCAATGATCCAACAAAATGTTGTCCCAGCTAGTCAATATGTACTTTCAAG